AAGGTAATTGCTAGTCCTGACCTGTCAGAGCTGCTCCTTTGTGCACCAAGTCCAACTTCCCCTTACACTTCCAAGTTATCTGCAGCAAATTTTCTTCCAAACTAAACAAAATCAGAGGCTTTTAGGAACTTAGAAATGTCTGCTTAATTTCAATGTCGATAAGCCCCTGCTCCAACTCATTCTTAATGTATCAAAATTAAATGTTTTAAACATATTTATCTAGTTGCTATGGCTTTGCCTGGTCTGTCAGACACTTTATCCATCAAATATGACAATTGAATAATATTTTTACTTTTAGATATGGATCACAGATCCTTCTCATCATACTATTCCCTTCCCCCCTTTCCTGAGTTTTGAACTCACTGGAAAATCTGTTCCATAATACGGTGGGTAAATGAATTACAGTCACAGATGGCCTCTGGAGATTTCATACATGCTGCAATTCATTTATTCAGGAATGGAGGAGAAAAAAAGAGACCCTTGTCTTATGAGGGTATTATCAGAGACAGCAGATCAGACACTGTAATGCTGCCTTGCACTCTGGATTTGACCCATTTCCTAAGCATTTATGACTCGGCATTTACTATTCCTGGATTTGAAAATTTTTAAGACGAACGTCAAAATGATAATGAAATGATAAAATGATAAAATGCAAGGAACTGTGGCCATTACAATTTATTTTTACAGTCCTGAGTGAAACCATTGTATGCTGTTGTAGAGAGATGCTCAAGAACAGCAAACTTCAGCCCTGGCAATTGTATTTCAGCTAAAAGAACTTAATGCACAGATGACTGTTGAGATTGCAGTGGGCCTTAAGATCCTCATAAGGAAAATGCTAGAAGAATAAGAAATATGATATAGAAGCCAGTATATAATGTTACTGCCTGGGTGTCTTGTTCATTGTAAGTCATAAAGCCTATTTGCAGGCAAGCATCAGGGTCAGGCCCCAAGACTCACTTCTGCCTCTGAATTCAGGCCAGCAATTATGGGAGAAGGGGATGGGGTGGTTGATGCATCAGCCATCGGGGAAAAATTAATCCTGCAATAAATACAAAGAATTTGCCTCAAGAGTGGATCAGACAAACTCATTTCTGTTTGGGCAATGATATAAAAATACTACTATGTGGACAAATGTAGCATGGTGATGTAACCATCTGGACTGACACACTGCCACTCCAGTCCAGGGTCAGGCTGCAACTGGCTGGAAGAAAGGACCATTTATATTTTCTTTATATTTACTGTGCTCTCGTGAGACCCCACCTGGAGTCCTGTGTCCAGGACTGTGCTCTGGAGGGGGTCCAGAGGAGAGGCACAAAGATGGTCTGAGGGCTGGAGCACCTCTTCCATGAAGACAGGCTGACAGAGCTGGGGCTGTTCAGCTGGAGAAGAGAAGGCTCCAGGGAGACCTTTTGGCACTTTCCAGTACCTAAAGGGGGCTTATGAAAAAGAGGGACTTTTTACATGGAGAGATAGCAGTAGAATAAAAGGTAATGTTTTTAAACTGAATGAAGGTAGTTTAGATACTAGGAAGAAATTCTTTACTCTGACAGTAGTAAGGCACAGGAACAGGTTTCCCAGAGAAGCTGTGGATGCCCCATCCCTGAAAGTATTTAAGGCCAGGCCAGATGGGGTTTTGAGCAGCCTGGTCTAGTGGAAGGTGTGTCTGCTCATGGCAGGAGCGGGGGTTGGATTGAGATGGTCCTTAAAAGTCTCTTCCAACCCAAACCATCCCATGATTCCAGGAGAATTTAGCTCTTTCTGAGGGCCATTTCACACTTTCATCTCACCCTGAAATTAGGCCTCACAGCTGACACAGCCCACTGGGTGCTCTAATGAAGACACTTGTCCAAATGCCAGACAACCCAGCCACTCGAGTGGAACAGCATCGGCCAAGAGGCCTCGCTCTGTGCCTGACAATGCTTTGGGTTGGAAAGAAACCTCTCAAAACCTTCTTCCAGCATGTCCACAGGCCTGAGGGGAAACTGCACATCCCACAGGAGGACTTCTGACCCCTTCCCCACCTCTGCCCTGGGGATGAAGGGTCCTGTGTGGAGCTGGGTCACCTACATCCATCCCTCTGGGCAGAGACAGCACCTGCTGCTGGAGATGCAGAGTGCCCACAGGAATGCCTTCACTCGTCCCCTTCAGTGGGAGTTTAGGGAACCAGGGGGTTAAAATGTCGGCTGAATCCTCCCAGGGCTGCCATCCCCCTCCTGGTAAAGAAGCAGCAATTTAACAGACTCGTTGTCCTGAGGTTTAATGGATGGCTCTGGCTGCAGTGCTTGGGGACCCTCTGACAGGGCGCTGTGAAAGGGCAAAGGGGGACTAATAGCTGCTGTGTTTTCCAGCAGCCCCAGCCTGAGATAGCTCTGTGTATAGCTGACAAGCAGTCAACGTCTGCTCCCTGTCTCTGTTTGCACTTCATCGAGTTATCTCCTTGCAAGCAAAGAAATCCCAGCTGATTGAACAGCACATTCATCATCTGGATTTCTCCCATATCTTTTCCTGTATCAATGGTGCCATAAAAAGCCCACCAGAAAAGTCGACGGAAATCTGCTCTATCTTCCATTAAAAGCTTTTGCAGAGATCTGAAGTAAAGAAAAAAATCAAAACAAACCCAAAACTTTTTTTCCTCCCTGAAACGTCAATCAACGAACATTAAACAAAAAGATTAGTTCTGCTCTTATTTGTTTGTAAAACAAAAAGCATGAAATATTTAGCAGTATTGTAATGAAAAGCAGATGGGAATAATGCTGCCTTTCAAGGCCGCTGGTAACCACCTCCTTTTCATGCCGCGGCAGCAGCAGGACGAGGCAGGCAGCCCATTAGGACAATTTATGAACTGGACTTCCACAGAGGGAGTTCTAGCAAGAGGTCCACAGCTCGTACAGAGCAACCCTGATAACATCTGTTAGGGTTATTCATTGAAGAGGATTATATTACAATCCCTCTTAATACTACGAGTGCTACAGTTAAACTGGATGAGCCTTCAGTTTCATTTGCTCCAGCAATATGTGTTTATCAGAGCGTTTTTCTGAAGTTGGAAACCTGGGCTGCATTCATGGTATGTCACAGAATGAAGTTTAGAAAGCTTGACATATTAGCCTAGAAAAAAACCTCAGTTCCTGCTTTTAATCTCTCATGGCTGTAGTGCTCAGCTTCAATGTGCAGCATCAACACACCATCAGCCTTTTTCCATAGAAAGCCACTCCCCATTAACTCTCCAGGGCTGAGATTGATTTTATTTAAATAGTTCTCACTCGCTAACCTTGCTCCATCCTTTATTTAAGACTTTGCTAATGATGTGTTTTTTTCCCCTTAATTTACCTAAGCATATAATGAACGCTCACATCCGAAATGACCTCATTATACCAGCAAGGACTTTGTGCGGATACGATTTAGTGCACAGACATAAGGCAGAGAACTCTCTAAATTGAGAGTTTTTAAACATTCTGTAAAATCCCTGTTGACTACAAGCCAGATTCTTACTGCTGTAAATTGACTTAGTTCCAACAGCTTCAATGAAGCTACACTGATTTACTCCACTTGAGGGTCTTACCCTATTATTCTTATTTATTGAACTTACCACCTTTTGCTGCTACAACCTAAACTTCCATCTTCTAGCAGCAGGGTTGCTATCTAAAACAGGTGTTTCTGCAGTAATATATGACTTCAGAGATTTATAACTACCTGGAGTATTTCATTGTCCTCTAAAAGTGTTTATAATAATTCTTGTTGACTGTCCCAACTCCTACCAATCAGCTGTAAAGTTGTTTGCAGACTGAACATGAGCAACAAAATATTAATTCCCCATACAAGCATGAGCTGTTTTTTTTATCTGTTCACAGGCACTTTTCCTCCCTGCTGGACAAAGGCCTTTCCTGGTCTCTGTACAGTGTCTGGGACAAAATGAAGCCCCAAGTTTTTTTTGCTGGTTCCAGAAGAAGAGGCCCGATATACACAAAGCAGGCTACTTTCTGGCTCCACAAAAAACAAACTACAAGATGAAAAAATGCATTGCAAAGGAAAAACAAAAACCTGTAAAACCAGAAACTTCTTTCATGCACCAGTTGTAGCCCTAATGGAAATGTGACTGTCCCACCATGACACTCTGCTCTTTCTACAGCCCTGGCCTTGTTTTACCCTGCTCTCTCCTACAGGAATTTGGGCTGCTGCTCCAACCTTGACCCAGCTGTGACCAGCTAAGTGTCTGCATTTGTACTTTTGGGGGCTTAGCAGGAGACAGCTCATAGGAAGGCACAAGATCACATGGTTCAAATGCCTGAGAGAAGTCAAAGACCTGCATAAAGCCCTGTGTGTTCATAAAAGCAACAGGGAACCTAACTCACAGGCTCACCAAAAAATTGTAGTGGTTTTCTGCTTGTCCAGAAAGAACTGCTTGTGGAGCCCTTTGATATCAGGGATACTGGCAGACTTTTTCTCATAAAGACTAAGGAAAGAAACCAGCAGTTACCTAGATGCTAATGAGAGTTGTGCATCCATACACACATGCTGCAGTGATTGCTCTTCAGAGAGATCAGCAGGGCTTTCACTAACAAACTGTTAGCTCACTACATGTGACTGGTGTTAACTTCAAACCCAAGGTGCACAAAAAAACATCCCTTTGTCTTACCAGGTCTGGGATTGAGGAGAAACCCACGAAGAGTGTCAGGGGCCAATGCCATAAGAAATCACACTGAATCACAATAGCAAATTAAAGGTTTAGCAAATTCACATTTTCTTCAGGTCCAGTATAATTCTATCTAAATAACTTACAGAAAAGCTGATATTTTCTGTTAAATCTCAAAGGACTAGAATGAAGTAGCTACATTTAGCACAGCCATCTTCCAGTGATACCTGAGCAGAGAGTCAGGAAGCAGCAAATTTTATCCTTGCTTCACTTGTTCTGGTTGTTTCTAGGTCAGCCCAAATACTCTGATGGTATGAAAAAAGCACAGCAAAAATGTGTAGCCACCACCCAAAATAACCTAAAAGTCCTTAAAAAGAAACGCACATGTGTTTATTTACTGCACTATAACTGCAACATCAAATACAACCATATTTTCATTTCAAAAAAGGACACATGCAATAAAATACTCTGATTTTATAATCCAATTCAACACAGTTCATTGGTAACACTGAAGCGTCACAGAACAGGCAAGGGCTTGGGATGATGAATTTCCAGTCTCTTGATCCTGCTTGCAAACAGCAAAGTCACATCATATTTTATTTGTCATCGAGGGATAAACTTTTGGAATAATGTGGCTGGATCACAGAAGGTTCCAGCTGCCCCTTAACTCCCCTGTGAGTCTTGAAGAATCATATTGTTTTTCACTTGGGAAATATTATGCTTTGACAAGGATGAGGAATAGACAGTATTTTCCAAGCAGAGAGCAGAAATCCTTCCATGTTATGCCACAGCTGAGGTACAAAACAAGGGCCTCTGCTTCACAGGTGCAAAGAAGCCACGGCTGTGAGTTACTTTAACTATTGCTCTGAAGAGTGAAATCAGGCCATTTTCTGCAATATTTCACTGCAGCTTTCTATTATGTTCATCTGCTCATGGGGCTTAAATCAATTTAATCTGGCATTTCAGCTATGGAATAAATCCACAATACACAGGAGGAGTCCACAGCTCAGAAAAGAACACAAGAAGTTGTCCTGAAATACTCAAATCATAGTCTCTTAACTACTTAAAAGGGCCTGTTCTTCATTAGAAACTTTTCTAGGTCCTTATTCTAACATAGCTACTCACACACCACAGGCCCTTATTTTTAATATTTCTCATGAAGTTTCATGGGACTAATTTTCAAATAAGGTTCTAAACAGTGTAGAAAATCTACAGCCTCAGGGCCCAAAATGGTACCTTTTCTAGCAGAAACTCTCCTGATTTTCATCTGGGACTTTGAGGCAGTGTGACATAACACTGTCCAGCCTTTCAAAACAATGACCTGATTTCTTTTTGTACATCTTGCGTGGCATAACACTCAGGATGACTTAGCTCCAACAATTTACATAAAACATAAAGTCAGTCTTTTGATGCAGCTGCATTTGTACAGAATTTCACAGAGTCAGTATACAGAAGCTTACAGCTTTTTGAGCTAATTCTAGCAAACAGGAGGATTTATCTATGAAAACAAAGAGTTCCAAAAGTACATGGAAATCTGTAGAGCAAAATATATATCTCTTTATAATTTCCCAACACAAGCAATAGGCAGTTTAGAAAAATATGATTGTTACAGTCTTTCTGAACCAGAAAAGAAAGGATTTAAAAAATAAGTTCAGCTTTTCACAAAGCGATATATTTAATAAGAAAATAGAGTGGTCCACATTTCCCTGAATAAGCCTGAAAGGTTAAAGAAAGGTCCAAGCAAAGCAAGGAATCAGATTTGGACTTGATATCAGCTGTGATAACATGCACATGTCCAGAGACAGCTGCTTGGCTCCAGTATTGTTTACCTTAGAAATGAGCCTAATTTATCACAATTTTATTCAAAAATCATAAATAACATGACAAAAGTGGAACTGGTCCCCGCAAGGCAAATAATTATATTCATACAAGCAAAAAGTGACATCAATCCAGTTAGTTTCTTGTGACAGTTAAAAGGAATTTTGTACCCAACTGTTACATTGTACAGCACATGTATAAACACAGATTATTATTGCAGACGTTGCTATCAGCTACTATACATAAACTAGAAGAGATGTTCGTGCTGTAATTGCCTCTAAGGTTTTTGTTCTACTTGAATATTAACATTTACAAAAGCTGAAGTGGAGACCTGAATTCAAGCCAGGATTTCAACATGCAAAATGACAGGGTTCACAGGAAGGTTTTGGATCCTCCCCATTACTGACATTTGGAAGTGGATAGGAGCTCTGAAGAATTTTAAAACCATTCATAATATGAGTTTCTCTTGTGAACAGCCTTTGGTTTTCCCTGTGCCTACAGGCAGGTGATCTAACACGGGACATGCTGCTGAAATTTAGATTTTTCACATCAATAAACCTCCTGATACAGAGAATTCACATTTTAGTTTTGGGTCACTTCTAAAAGAAGGCAGCAAAATGTACCTCACTATTTGCTGATTTTTAAATTAAAAACAGAGAACAGTTTGATTGCAGAAACTTTGCTCCAGGCTGTTCTTAGTAACTATTTAATTTATCAGTTAGAACTTATTAATTCTGTTCAATGTGAGAGCAAATCCCTTCATTTTGTCGTAATTTTTGTGCAACATATGGTATATTTACTCACCCTATATGGGAGTCTTAGCACATTTCTTTAAACTTTCTTCTAGCTTGAAACTAAACAAAAGCACAAAAACTGATGGAAGCAAGATTGATGGAGTGTTGGTGAAGGGATCCAAAACTGTTTAAAATCCAGGCTTATGAATTAAATTGGGCCAAGACAGCCCACTGCTCTGAGGAGTGAGGACCTCTGCAGGAGCACTGGACATGGGTTATATTGCCAGTAAACAACAGTGCAGCTTCTGGGTCTCCTACCACTTTTCAGTGTCAATGGAGAGTTATGTCTCATGAAAGGCATTGACAGAAAAATGCAACACCTGCATTATTGCTTGTGTAATTGCTTCACAGTGGTCCAGTGCAGTCAGGCAAACAAATGAGAAGAAGGTATGCTGCTGAAAGGGAAGATCTGGGGCTGGGCAGATGGAGTGTGCCCTCCTGGAGTCACCCAATAAACTCAGTTAACACAAATTAAAAGGGAAAAAAAGTTGAAAGAGTCACACTGATCAAAGGGAAAACATCTACTGAGGCAAAAATTTACCATCAGGGTCTTGGAGCAAGACAAAGGTGTGTCTTTTGCCTTCCAGTCAAGCTCATGTACAAAATGGAGGCTGGAGTTTGAGGACAGACACACACAGCACATGCCAACACCTTCAGGAGCAGCCAGTGTTCCAGCAATGCCTCCCAGGTTAAATTCTTACAGGGTTTAATCTGGGAAGGGTATGGAAAAATCATCTTGGGTGCTTTTCACCCTAAAGACTGAAAGCTTATTAAATCTCATCAAAGCTCATTACAACATGTACCTCCAAACTCTTCCAGCTTCCCTTTAAGACATGGTTTCTCTTAAAAGCTGCACTTAAAAGTAATATTGAAGTGGAATGTCACCTCTTTTTGAGTAGAGCAATAATTACACTCCCCATTACATATATATATATACACATATATATACATACATATCTATATGCATGTGTATATATATATTTCATGGCAACAGAAAGTACTGTATAGAGGCATTCATTCATATCTGTAGTGAAACAAAGGCTGTGGTGTTCAGTGCCTATTAGACTTGACAAAAGAAATCATTTGATTTAGGTGGGAATCACTTCAGGAGAAATAACAGCTCCTACCCCTGAGTTCCAGAGGGAGGCCTCCCAGCAAAGTGCTGCTGAGGGCGGTGGCACTGCTCTCCAAACTCACCTCTCCCTTTTAACACACTGCTTTTCATGGAGCAAAAAGGAGCTTAAATAAATGGCTTGCTCTAGGGCTTGATAAATGAGTTGTGAAATCAGTTTGTTAAAAGCTATCATTTTCGTTTTCTTTCTTTCTTTTTTTTCCTTCCCTCCCAGGTCAGAAAAAGGGGTTCTGGCTTATTTGGAGTGTATAACAATGACAGTGGAGCACCCCTGGCAGCTCCAGGGCACAGACCCTGGCTGAGCAGCACCTGGCAGCTCCTACCCCAGCAGTGACAATGCGAGGGTGTCAGAGCTGCAGCTGAACCACCACCCCCCTGTGCTGATTTAGGGGCAATTTTCTGCACACAGAAATTGGATTACACATCCAAACCTGCTTAGAGAGGAGAAGAGAAAAAGGCTCTGGGCAGGCTATGAACAATGCTAATAGTGAGGTTTTCAGTATTATTAATTGTTTGTTAAGTGACACCCTCACACTCCTGTCTGCAGATGAGACTATTAAGGGCAGTCCCTGAGCCAAAACTGAAGGCAGATGTGAGCAGGACATGGCCAGGAGACTTGGAAGAAATGGCTGGCCAGGACTGGAGTCCCCACAGATAGTGATGAAGGCTGGTTTGACACAGGGGACAGCAGAAACAGACAGAGCATCTGCAGGAGGAACTGCAATGGGGGAAGAAATGACTGGATTTTAAACTTATAGGAACTGGATCAGATTTTTTGCTCTAGGTATTGAGGAAGAACAGCCACTGGAAACACTTAAGGTGATAGGAATGATCTAGGCTGTGGAAGAACTGCAACAGGAAAAGAAGAATAAAATACTGGGATAATTTACCTTGGAAAGGAAGCAAAGCCAAATCTCCTTTGTCCTCATAAAAGAAGGAAAGACAAAACTTGGCCTGGAAAGGGTAGTGCTGGTCTTTCTCCTTCCTTGGAGAAAGAAGGAAAATCAATCCATCCCCACTCCCCAAACAAAAGGTTTCTGATCCAAAATCAGTTCAGGGCAATACCTTTATCACACAACTTGGAATAATGTGGAACTTGCTGGTGTAAATGGCTCTGAAGCCACAAAGCCACTAGCATTCACTAAGGTACTGAATAGCCTTGCCCCTAAAATCCAGAAGACTAAAGACAACCTGACATTTACTTGAAAAGGAACAGAAAAAGTCCCACCTCAGTTCCACAATGCATTTTTCCCTCCTGAGGATTGAGCAGAGACCATCATGACTAGCTTTCCATCTATAATAGCATTTCCTGTATCTTTTCCTGGAGCATCAGCACCCACCACCTACCATTAACCTGTCACTGAGGGGTTTAATTTAGTAGTTTCTTCAGTATTTAATGAAGAGAAAAAACACTTCCAGGGCTCAAATCTCAGCTCGAGTGAATCAGCCTGAGGGGAGCCTCCTTCCACAGTCAGGGACATGAAACTGAACTGTGCTGCCAGCTGCTGTCCAAATTCTGTCTGGCAGAGCAGGATGGCAAAACCCTTGTGCCTGTGTCATTAGTCCTGGACTGCTCTCATTGTGCCACACCTATGAGCTCCTCTTGCATCTGGCTGCCCTTGGAAGAACTAATGTTCCTGCTGCTTCCATTGGGATGCTGCAGTTTCACCTTACCCACAGGTAAGGTGGGTAAGGAGGAGGGTTACTAGGAGGAGGGTTCTTATCTCACAGGTACAATGAGGTAAAAATCTGGCATTTCCCAAAGCAGATTAGGGAACAGAAGTGCCCTTTAGGCTACAGTTTGAACTGGTATATTGCTGATATATATTCCCTTTTTTCCAGATCTACTGATAAGTCTCTGGTAGACACATATTTATATTTTAAATTGGATAGGAAAGAGATAATAAAAAAACCCAACTGTGTGACAGATTATTTCCTCCTACTTTGTTTTTGGGGGGTTTTCTGTTTGGTGGTGGTTTTTTGTGGGGTTTTTTTTTGTTTGTTTGGGTTGTTTTTTAATTCAAGAATCTTTGTTTTGTTTTACCATTTAACAAGAGTAACATGATCCCACAATTCTTAAATGGACAGGTGCAAGTCAAAATGCCTCGTGCCTAAAACATCCTGCAGTTACCCAACACCTACAACTAACCTGTTTATATCCAGTATAACCAACATATATCTTTTTTTAAATATGGCAAAAGTAGTAAGATTGATTTCTCAATGACTCATGTTGCCTTCACCAGAAATATTATCTTTAGTATTTTAATAAACTGGTTTCTGAGAGTTGCTAACCTGTGACAGATAAATAAATGCAATAAACTTGCAATGGCTCAGAGGAGGTCAGTGGTCTGGAAGCTGCTAAGAACATCCTCAACAGCCCCCAGTGATTCTGGCAGAAGTTGGTGTAGTTCTCTGGACAAATGTGCTTTCAGCTACACCCTAGCAAATGATACTGTCCATGGGGTAGTCAACTCTCCAAAAACAGCTCTTACAGCCAGCTGGGTACATAACCTGTCACCTGAAAGACAGGTGATATGTATCTATGATACCTGGCAAAGACATGTTTATTGGGGGTTTTACACCAGCATTTCTTGAAAGGCAAACTATTTTTCCAGTTTTCTCTGGTGAATAATTTAGTTTCAGTCTGTAATATCCAGTTATTCCAAAAGGCTTTGTTTGGCTTGGGAATCTCTGTCACACAGCAGTTTTGGTTGTTTTTTTTCCTTAAAGAAAAGAGGACAATGTACTGTCTTGTGTTGACACAAGTTAAAAGAATTATTGTACATGAACTCACTCTTCAAATCTCTTTAGTGCTAATGAGATGTGTATGCACACACATCAAAGTAAAACATTCCTAATTTAATAATGAAAAGGAGATCAGATGTAGCAAACTCCTGAGGTCTAGAGAAACTAAAGAGAAAATACTATTTCTTCTGATCTACAGAGATCACCATCTGTCTGTCTAGGAATGGCCAATGTTTGGAGACATTTCTTTTCTCCAAGGTCTACAAATACTCCAGCAAAAGGGATTAAGGAGAAGCATAAAGCTATTCCAAAAGCTGTCCAAATTATTCAGTGATCACTAGGCAGTTTTATTGGTTAGCCTAGTAGCTTTATTTACAGCGTCAAATATTTGAGTCTTCTAAGTCTCTTGGTCAGCACAAATAAAGTAACACTTGGTAGAAATCATGACTGCTCTGGAGATCGAGTGCTAGCAGAGGAATACAACATTTTAAATGTATGTGCTTAGAACTGAAGATGGTTTTCATACAGGTATTTCTGAGGAGGGCATATATAAATCATATTTAATACCATTTAAATTGCTGGCTGGAATCAGAGAAAGGGCTGTTAATAGACATGGGGCACAATGGCAATTTTCTACCTCAATACCTGGAAAATGCCTCTACCTTGCTGCCATGGAAAATTCTCTGGAAAGCATCAGTCTTCAAAATCAATTACAGTTTACAAATGAGGCTTGCTTTCATGCCAAAGGTTGGGTTTGGAGTGTGCCTTTGGGTAATGCCTCACTGTAAGGCATGGGCAATGGAGTGCAGGGTTTTGCCTTGAGTGCTGCAGGGTCATTAACGTGGCCAGCAGCTCCTGGGTCCAAAGGTGCAGGCAGGAGCTGGGACAGAGCTCTGTGAACAGGCTGGGTGTCTGCAGGGAGTGTAGGTGCACAAACCACTCAACCTCAAACATGCTCCGTATGTTTCAGAGGGTTTTAGCACCCTTTGACTGTGGCTGCATCTGCTCTGGGGCAAAATAGTGAAAGTCCTCAGCTGCAGACACATCCAGGGTTCTGTGCATCCCATGTTTTGGCAAGGGAAGGCTTAAGGCAGTGGCCCCAGTGTGAACCTGAGCTGTAACACATCTCAGTTACATCTGGATGTCAGAGATGTATGAGCTGGGGATTTTATAGGCACAAAAGTGAGCATATAACCACCAAATCATCTGTGAGCAAAGATGAAGAACTCTGCTCAAGATTTTAAGGACTGGTTTAGAAACCAGTCCTTAAAAACTAAATCCTTTGGATTTAGTTTGTGTGTTGAGGAAACTGATCTTTGTACAGTTTCCTGGAAGCTGGACTCATTATTCCAATTACTAACTTAATTAATATTTACACACACTTCCAGGAATCAGTATTGCAAACTTTTCAGAAAAAAAAAAAACAAAACCAAAAAACAAAAACAAACCACAAGAGAACAAAAAAGAAAGTAAATTTTGCATTTACATCTCAAGCTTACTTTTGTGATTCTCTTCTTTCTTTCTTTGCCAGAAAAATCTCACACCTGCCTTGGACAGGTGAGGTAAATGACATTATGGAAGACTGAAATTGATTTCAGTGATATGAACATTAAAGTCCTGTGCTTTGGATAGTTTTCATTTCAAAGAAGTAGAAATATTCATCACTTCTGTGAGATATTCAGATTATTTAAGTTAATGAGAATGGATTGACTGAGATTTAAAGCAAAACTTTCCGAGATTACAGACAGGGGACTTACAGAATAAACTGATTGCAAACCCAGAAGCAAAAGTGTGTTTCTAATTTAGTTGTTTGGTTATTTTTTTTAAACCTGCCACCACACTGAAACATCAAGGTGATGATGCAGTTGTTCTTGTAAGATCTTCCGTGCAGAACTTTTTTCTCTCTGTTACACACTCCCATGGTGTCAAATGCATTTGTGAACCCATACAAATCACCCAGATCAGAAAGGCTCGGCAGAAAGAAATCTGATGTGAGATTTTGTGCTTTTATAGAGAAAACTTTTCTATCTCCCTACTGACTTCCATTTGCAGCTTTATTATTCTTCATTATTTTTACTTTCTCACTGGTATTTTACTTTCATCACCTGGATCAGCTCAGCAAAACCCAGAGAACTGCAATGTAGCTAGATCACAGAAAGGTGTGTGCACACCCACACACATCCACAACCACACAGAGCAGGTTTTGTTACTGCCCCTCTTCCCCCACACTACTTTTCTAAAGGAAGATTTAATTTGACATGGAGATGTGTGTGATGATTAACTCCCTGCTGGGCAGCCACAGGGGTTTCTTCCCCCAGGGCTGGCAGCAATTTTTAGAGGAATGTGCAAGGCACTTGCACAGCTAATCAGGAGAGGAGGAGGTATGTCCTCTGCCACCAGAAAGAATGGCTACAAGGAAGGAATATGTCTGCCCCCTTCTCTGACAAATTACAGCTCCCCTCTATGTGGCTCCTCCATGAAAGAAATCACAGGCCTTCCTTCACTTCCTGAAGTGAATGTCTTATTGCTCAGCACACATGGACCCTCCTCACCTTTCTGCTTCCAGTCCTTTCTGAGAGCTCTTCTGCTACCTCCTGACAGCCAGGTTTTTAACCCACATCAGGCCAGCTCCTGCTCCATGCTTCTCTTGCTCTTTGAGTGGTACCTTCACCATCCCTGTTGTCTCTCCTTTAATTTCCACTCTTTACATTTTTAGCACTTTTGGCATTTTAATCCAGCACTAGCAAACCCAGTATAGTCAGAAACATTAGGAACACTGTGACAGAGTCCTGGTGGTGGAAGAGTCTCCTCAGAACACTGGTAGAAGTCCTGTTACTCACCCCATTTTAAACCTTGAAAACTGAAGAAAAGCCATTTAATATGTAATATTACCAACAGTGTAGAAGAGAAGGGGAGCCAAAAGTATTCTGAGATTTTTTCCTCCATGGAGCTTGTGCTTTTGTCATCTGTGTTAACTGTGACTCCTTTTCCAAGGCTTTACAAATTGATGGACACCTCTCCTCTCTATGTTTAGCTGCTCCTCTTTCACACTGCCTGCTCTCCCAATCCCGTGCCTAAACTGAGCTCCACACTGTTATGCCTCCTGATTCTACACGTTTGCTTCTTGAACAGAACTTTAATGATTTTGTTAGATCAGTGCCTTCTTCCTACAGTCAGCTACAATATTATTTTAGACCTTATGCAGGAAACAACACCAAGTACCCCATATACTGATACACAGAAGAGAAATTCCTTCTGCAACATAGCCAGGAGAAGGAAAATAACTGTTTCTTCTGTTAATTTTTTGTTCTGTTAATTTTTTTTCATGATTACTACTGTAGCTAAAACCATGAGACAATAAGGGATAGCTCTCAGAAATGGCATACATTTTTAGAAATTACCTTTTCTCTCAGTGGTCAATTAGGTAAAACACGACTAAGAATAGCTTCATCACTCTGAAGTGAGAACTGCTTTTACATTAAAGGCAATGTATAATGCACATTCAAAAATTTGATAAATCAGACATAGGGTTAAGTAAATAAATGACAAATTGCCATAATTTTAGAGTTTAGGTTACATAGAAATCTATACTTGACTATCTTTGATACAATCAGTTTACACAATTTCAATAAACCATTAATACAAAAGAATCCTAGGTAGGAATCTTCTTTCCAGGGTGGTATTATTAAAGTACTTCCAACTTTTGCTTTACTGACACTGAGCCAGGCTGCATTCCACTGTTCAGGCTTTAAAATCCGTTACCAAATGCCTCTTTATAAAGTAAAAAATCCAACAAACCAAACCACAAAACCCCACAAACACAAAAATCTAACAAAAAAACTACTCTTTTTTACAGACAGGATTGGTGATATAAGGTTTTGTTCAGTGCTCACAAATTTGTTCAGAAAATTTTGACCTGATTTTAAAAGTTCTCCTGCTAGAGAGATGCTAAAAAAATAGATTTTTTTTTCCTAGCTTTATTCCCACTGTATTCCACCTCTCCTGATTCAGGTGGGCTGGAGAATACAGTAATTGGAAAAGAAATCTTGTAAAAAATAAGAACAAGAGGAGGTCCACTCCCACTCCTACTGAAGTCAGTAGAAACATTTCTATTAGCTTCTGCAATCCCTGTATCCAGATACTGAAAAATCAGCTCAAGAATTCAAAGAGAATAGTCCCAATCTTCCTTGGGCTGAATGACAACCACCCTATTCAAACATGATTCTACTGTGCCTGCTCTCCAGTTTACACTCTGGTGCATGACCATGTGTTCTCATACTTGCTCTGACTTCAGTTGTAAACCAGAATCTGATGTTAAAAATCACCCAGAAAATCCCACAACACCATCCTTCAGTATTGCTTGCTGAAAGACGGCAGAAACATTGCAGAATTATCTTTAAACAGTGGATGAGTGGATGGTGGTTGTTAGTTTGACCACAGATATGTGTTTTTATATATATATATATGTACATACATACACATACACAATCTCTATATACATATCATAAATACAATAATAAAAAAATTGTAAAAATATTAATTTTGCTCAAATACCTGATTAAAGTGGATTAATCTTATGTTGCATTATGTGATCTATCCCATTGGCATGGCTGTGTTAGAAGCCCTAAAATGTACTAATTAGCTGCAGTTAAGAACAGAGAGTCTGCCCTTCGGCCGTCACCTCGTGCCGCTCCAAGGAGTTACGTGGGAGGTGGGCCCTCGTATCTCAGCATCAGCTTGAAGGAGCGAGCGAAGTTGTTGGCCAGGGTGCAGCTGTGGGTCTTGTCTGCCAGGGGCAGCAGGAATGCCAGGAGCAGCAGCAGCAGCAGGAGCAGTTGCAGGGGGAGCGCTGCCCGGCACACGCGGCGCAGGTACGAGCACATGCCTCCAGAGCGCTGCTGAAAACACAAACCAAAGAGCAGCTCAGAAAAAGACATTGCTGGGGAGTTCTACTTCACATACATCAAACTGCCAGGGAGAAGGTCAGAACAGCCCCTGTTGTCCTTGGCCTAGGACCCAGCCTGGGTGCTGGGCACACTGAGGGTGACTGAAGTTAAATTATGCCTTTTAGGAGAATATTTCAATATTTTCAAGAATTCCGTGCTGAAAACTGTTGTTTTCTAGGAGGAAAACACTGCTGACTTTCTAGAAGAAAATTATTGCTTCCAAGCCCATTTTCCAAAGTGGTGGTCACACATGCTCACGCCCAAGGTGACAACTGGTCCCCTCACAGCCACCATACAGCACAGAAAGTCTGGGTTTGCTGCTCTCCAGTCAGCAAAATGAGAGTGCTGGTGCCTGGAAGAGAGGAACAGCTTCTGCTCTCTGTCAGCACAAAGGAACTTCATTTGCAGCTCATCCATCTAGTCATCTGCCCTGCAGGACCATGCACTGGCTCTGGGCTCTACACAACTGGAGGTCAGAAAAAAAGCCCCAGAGTGCAGCCTGCCCCAGTATATCTTACCAGGCTCAGCTCAAAACTTTATGTGATGCAAAGGAATGAGAGAAACACAACATTGATAGTGAAGGAGACATTAAAGCCACATCTATTTCTGTGCAGCCCTGGGGGACACACACATAGGAGTCCCATTACACCTTTCTCAATACCAGTGCAATCCTAGAGTAGGTCAGTTAACCTCGGAGACATTAAAGCCACATCTATTTCTGTGCAGCCCTGGGGGACACAAAGAAGTCCCATTACACCTTTCTCTATACTGGTGCAAACCTAGAGTAGGTCAGTTAACCTTATAAATTTGATCTGGTTTAGCATGACCAGGAGAGAATATATCTATGGCTACAGAATTCAGAAAAGATTAATTAAAAAGGGAGATTTCCACTGGCAAGATTCCTGGGTAACTCCTGCCAATGAGCTGAACTGTGTGAGTTTCCAAAAAAAAAAAAATCAACGCTCTTGAAAAGAAATCTGATAAAAAGAGCTCAATAACCCACTTATTTCATCAAACAAAGATTTATACAATGAACATAAATACAGTTCTTAATCAGCTACATTAGGTACCAGCCTACATCATAAATGTCAGCACAGAACATCCACTGGAGTGAAGCCCACGTTTTCCACAAAAGGAAATTAATTTATTGTGCTCAAGTCACAGGCAGTGCCAGTCCTACAGCAAAATTAGGGCTTCTGCTACCATGGGGTGTTTAACAGGCAAAGCCTTTGTCCCACTATAGCACTGTTGCCTTTTTCCTAACCTGGAAATGAAACTGGAGATAATTTTGATAAGAAGGTAATATAATGAACATAAACTATCCATGGGAAACATCAGCAGAGAAGATATGGAGGAGATTGATGGTAGAATAAAGTAATTATGCCTTCTGCTATTTTTAATGATCTCTTCCACTGCCTTCTAAATTACTCAGTCCCTTGTAACTCCATATAAATGCTTACAAAATTAATTACAAAGGTAAACATACAGCTGCAGTTACACATCATGAGACAGTTGTGCTGCAAAATCCTTCTGTTGTAGCTGGTTTGCTTCCATTATATTGAATGGCTGATGAGATTTAATTATTGTGTCAGGCAGATGTAGAGGCAGCAGAGCAGCAGCTGCTTGCTCTGTCATTTCTGGCCCACAGTACCTGGGTTGTAATTTGTTCTCTGAAGCCAAGGAAAACTCAGGTTCCTGCACACTGGAACGGTCAGTGGATGAAGTCTACATGCCATGGTGTGAGTGGGACTGACTTTGAGCACCACTGGGCAAGTTCCCTGGGTACAGTGATTATTTACCCATGAAACCAAAGCTTCACCAACCTGGCTGCCTCGCAGGTGTCATCTGCTCCTACTGTCACCTGTTCTCAAAGTACAAGGCATAAATAGCTGTACTAATGAGACTTTCCCTTCTCTAGTCTAGACCACGCCAGGGGGGGAGAAATCCTTCTCCCCACCCTGTATATCATCTGCCTGTGGGCTAAACAAAGCCTGGAGGGTCTTCTGTGTTTACAATCAATGCTAAATCTATTATGCACAAGAGCAGCAGCCCCAGCTCTTGGTTGGAGCTCTCTGGGCTTGTCTTAGTTGATGCCATGAATCAGACACTTGGTGTGTTCAGTGTCAACCAGTGCACTGTCATCCACAGTTCTGTTTTCACTGACAAAGATTTCTCATTCTTAATTCTTAACTGCATCTATCATACGCAACAATATGACTAATACATTTATCAGAGTGCCCTGTCTATAAGGAAAAAGACCCTTGCCAGGCTCCAAAATCCATGAGCAAGTTTGTTTGTAGATATTAACAGCTGTAGTTCTGTCAGTGGAAGATCTTTTATCAGAGTGCCCTGTCTATAAGGAAAAAGACCCTTGCCAGGCTCCAGAATCCATGAGCAAGTTTGTTTGTAGATATCAACAGGTGGGTTCTGTCAGTGGAAGATCCAATTTGAGTTAATTCTGCATTGGGGTGATTCAAACCATGCTTTTTGTCCAACCACTAAGGCACAGTAAGTCTTAATGCTGATGTTGTTACAGAGAAGGATCCTGAGAGAGACTGTTCAATAGTTCATTCCAACTGCAATCCTCAAAAATGTTCTCACAAACTCAAATTGGGACTTAGAAATCCACCTCTCACAAACACAGTTGTGAGGACCACCAGCCTTCCTAGCAACACCTAAAACTTCTGGTTTACTGCTGTAAATCCTTTAGAATTGGTTTTGAAAGCTACTTCAATCTGAAACCATTCTTTCATTGCCAGGCCAGCTGCAACACATCTCTTCCCTGTTACATCTTTCTGCCTATGAACTGGTGGGAAATGTGTTTCCAGTTGTGCCTTGTCCCTGTTCCTGCCACAGCCCAGGCAGCAGGTATCTTATGGCCACTCAGGCCTGTCACTGGTTTCCTGTGATGGCCATACTTCCAGTTAGACACTGTTTTTCCTACCCTGATTCTTCTACCAAGCCAGGATTTGATTCAGGGCAGTACACTGATCTGTTCCTGCCACAGCCCAGGCAGCAGGTATCTTATGGCCACTCAGGCCATCCTGTGATGGCCACACTTCCAGTTAGACAGTTTTTCCTACCCTGATTCTTCTACCAATCCAGGATTTGATTCAGGGCAGTTCACTGACTCTGCCTTGATTTCTATAGCAGAGACTATTAACAACTCAGATAACAATTCAATCTCATCCCATTTCTCAAAGTGCCTTGCGTTTGGATACACGGGAAGAAGCTGTAAAATGGTATTGCTTTTCACAGCTCATCCTACAGAAAGAATTAATGCAAAATGGATTTATTAACAAGCTCTCATTTGCTCTCCTTCGAGCTTTCTACAGAGCAGGATACTCAAGCTAACCATAGCAGATCCTAGCATTAGAAAAATCTGTGGAGACAGTTACTTTGGAGAAGGAGAAATATTTTCTCTTTATCTGCTGCTTCTCTCCCACCTGCTTGCTGGGTTTATAGGTATTTGTGTTCAATGAACTTTTGTCTTCGATGCCCAGCTTTTCTGGTTTTTTTTGATCACACAGCAAGGTCAGAATGTTGTATTTTAGACTCCATTTGTTGTCATGGGAATGACTCAGCTATTGCAAACATGGTATTATGATGCCTCTGCAGGACTGAAAATGAGGCCCACAGGAGCTGTGAGGGTTTGGTGTTTTCAGCAAATTTGCAATGATAAACCCTTAATAAATGAGGGCCTCAACCTGCACACACTGAAATCCACAGGAGATTTATCATTAATTTCAGTGTCTGCAGTGGGATTATGCACAGGAACAACTAAATAAAGTCAGGATCAGGAACAACTTGTCTGTGGAGGTCAGCAGGTATCTTACAAATGGATTCATTAGTTATATGCCCAAGTTGTTGTGACATGAAACCTACATTAGTTCCATTGCTTTGTGCTTGCTGGAACAATTGGTGATTTTTTTGGGTGTTTTTTGTGGGTTTTTTTTGCTGTTTCTTTTGTGGGGTTTTTTGTGGTTTTTTTTTTTGTGGGTTTTTTTTTTTGTTTGTTTGTTTGTTTTTTGGTGTAACTATGAGAGGTGTTAAAGCATAAAAAAAATTGAAGGAGGCAAAGTAAATTTTAATAGGAAAGATGATACATTTGGAAAATGCATGGAAAATTTGAGGCACTGACGGCCTTTCTGAGTATGAAAAAAATAACACTTCAATTTTACTAAGTAAAGATAGTCTTTTAGATCTGTGATGTGAAAAAGAGATGCTTTCAGGATGTAGTGACCTGAGACCATGGCCCCAACAGGAAATTCAGGAGGCCAAGGTACAAACCTCTGCTCTACTCAAAGTGATCAGGGTCCTGAAGTCAGGACACACTTCCAACCCTTTAGCACATCACTCAGGGTTAGAAAAGGACAGCCTAACACAGTTCCACCTTTGCAAGAGACAATTTGAATATATCATTTCCATATGAGATGGAAGGCTGATGATGAGAAAGATGAGAAGGTTGGAACCACAACCTTTGCTACACAGTGGAATTTCCCTTTCCCAATCACTCCAGCTACTGGCATCAGTACAGCTACCACCCAGCACCCACAGTGCCTGCAGTGCATGTGTCAGATATAGGCTCTACTAAATATTCTGAAATGAAATCTTCCTCTGAGAAAAACTGGCAAAGCTCCAGTGAAGTCAACAGAATTTTAATTTCCACCATCTTAGAATAACAGTTGGAATACCTGGGTATTGAGCCAAAGTGTCAGAGATATTCTTGAAACACATGGAAAAGGAATAGGTTGGCATTTAAAAGGAAAATATACTTTTAAAGTTCACCAGCAGGAATAAATGTCCTCCCTCCTCTCCCTCAAAATACCAGGACAAGCAAGGACTGTCAAGGGGTGGACGGCTGTGTTTTGTGTAATGCTAAATGCATGCTTGTTCCAAATGAATGGCACTGGCTGTGAAAATTCACATTTGTACTTGATTCATGTTGGAGT